CTTGTTCCAGATGTATGCCCTTGCTTATAATGATGCTCGTATCTTTAAGCTTTATTAGGATATTGCTCGTGCCTCATATTCTGCCTTGGGCCTTTCTGTGTCCAAGTTCTGTGGATACCTTCAGGCTCGTTGGGAAGAATTGGCTTAATATGAACCCTTGGCTGATTTACCCGCTACTGTTGTTTCTCTTGTGTCCAACCGTCTTAATCTCCAGCACACTTACTAGTTTTTGATGGGTTTAAACTCTGAGTTTGAATCTCTTCGAACTTAAATTTTAAACGCATCTCCTATGATGTCCCTCTATAAGGTATTCGTTACCATTGATAGTAGTCAAAAAAATAGCACTAAAATTCATATGGAAAGGTGTGAAAAAGTTAGTTATAATAATAGAGAAATTAAGCTAGTACATATGGTTCAGCTGAGCTCTCATTCAATCTCTCTAGTTTTATCTGATCAGATGGCCCTTGTTGCTAAATCTGGCTCTCGGGGTTCTTCGGGTTCGGTTACTTGCCATCATTGTAGCGCTTCTGGGCATGTCAAGGCGCATTGCTTCAAACTTCATCCTGAGTTGAGGCAATGTTCTACTTGTCCTCGTGGTCCTGGTAGCCCTCACACAGCTGCTTTAGTGGAAGCTGCTTCTGCCCCTGTGCCTTCTATTATCCTTAACTTGCAAGAGTTACAGACTCAGCTTGGTCAGCTTCAGGCTCAGCTTGGATCCCTTGCTAGTTCTCATGGCCCATCACCTTCCACTACTGCCACCCTTGCTACAGGTACATTTATTGTTTTTCATGTTCGGCTTGCTAGTCCCTTATGGGTTCTGGATTCTGGAGCTAATGATCATATGACGGGTGAGTTTTCCTTTCTTTATTTTCCAATCGCTACTACCATAGCTCAATCTGTTTGCCTCGCTGATGGTTCTTCAACTTCTGTTCATCATAAGGTGTTGTGTCTTTATCTCCTACCCTTACCTTATCATTTATTTTACATATCCCCAATTTTGCATATAATCTCTTATCTGTTAGTCATCTTGCCAAACAGTTTAATTATGTTGTCATCTTCTTATCCTCCTCTTATTTTTTATAGGACCTGAGTTCAAAGAGGATTTTTGGCAAGGGCTATGAGCGTGATGGTCTTTACTACTTTGGGAACCCACCGGATAAGCCTTCTACTTCTTCTTTGGCTAGTTTCTAGGCCTCTGTTTTGCCTGCTTCTTTGTCTTGTGTTTTTAATCTTCACACTTTAAAACTTTGGCATGCTCGTATAGGTCATGTTAATTTTCAGTATTTATGTCAGCTTTTTCCCCGTTTTAATAAGACTTGCAAGGATATTAAATTTCATTGCGTGGTTTGTGAGTTGTCTAAACATACTCTTACTGGTTATATCCCTCACATGACTCATGCTCCTACTATCTTTGACCTTATACATTCTGATGTGTGGGGGCCTTCCCCAGTTACTGCCTTTTCTGGTTATAGATATTATGTAACCTTTATTGATGATTACACTCGGTGCACTTGGGTCTATCTTTTTCGTTGTAAGTCCAAAGTGTTCTCAATTTTTGTTCAGTTTTTACAAATGATTAAAACTCTATTTCGGACAATTGTTAGGAATATCCGTTCTGATAATGGTGGGGAATATATTTTTAATGAATTTCATTTCCATCATAATCAAACTAGCATTCTTCAGCAACTTACTTGTCCTCGAACTCCTGAACAAAATGGTGTTGCCGAACGCAAAAACTGTCACATTATGTCTATTGTCCATTGTCTCCTTTCGGGGAATGCATGTTCCCAAATCTTATTGGCATATGGCTATCCTCACTGTTGTTTACCTTATTAATAGGACACCCAGTCGTGTGTTGCATGGTCTTACTCTGTTCCATATTCTTATGCCCACTACAACTCTGTTTCCTATATTACCTTGTGCCGTTGGATGTACCTGTTTTGTTCAAAATCGGAGTCCCACTCGCACTAAATTAGCTGACACGTCCATTTGGTGTATTTTCTTAGGGTACTCTTCCATGTCCAAGGGGTATAGATGCTATGATCCTGTGTCTCATCATTTTCATCATACTTTGAATATTACTTTTTGTAAAGATGTTCCATACTTTAGTACTAACCCTCCTTTGCAGGCTCTTACACCCGTTTCTTCTAGTGTTCGTCCGGTGCTAATTTTGGATGAGGTTGAGGTTAAGGCTGAGGTTGTTCCCTTTTCTTCTCCTTAACCTTCCCCTCCTCTACTACTGGTATACTCTCGTCACCCATGCTCTCAGCTGCCCCCTACCGCATCTCTGCTCTCTGGGTCAGGTAACTCTTCTCTATCTCCTCCACCTCCTCGTTGTAATTAACACACCTTGAGTTCGACACCCTCTGGCTCGTTTGAGTTATTTGAGTAGTACTAATCATCCCATTTCCCAGTATCTTTCCTATGATAGGGTTTTCGACCCTTATCTCTCTTTCCTTGGAAAACTTGACTCGGAGTCTATTCCTCGTTCTGCGTCAGAGGCTCTTTAGAATCCAAAATGGGTAGTGGCTATGCTGACTGAGATAGCAGGCTTAGAACAGAACCATACTTGGGATCTTGTCCTTTTACCTCCTGAGAAAAGCATCATTGGTTGTAAGTGGGCATTTACTATCAAGTACCTTGTAGATGGCTTAGTTGACCGCTACAAGGCCCGCTTTGTAGCCAAAGGTTTCGCACAGATTCTTGGCAAAGATTTTGCCACCACCTTTGCCCCTGTTGCCAAGCTTACTTTTGTGTGTCTCCTCACCTCTCTTGTAGCATCACATTCTTGACCTCTTCATCAACTTGACGTCAAGAATGCGTTCCTTTATGGGGATCTACTTGAGACAATTTTTGTGGATCCTCTACCTAGTTTTCGGGCTGAAGGGGAGTATTCGGAGAAAGTGTGTCGATTACGCAAATCACTATATGGTCTGAAACAGTCTCCACGAGCATGGTTTGGTCGCTTCAGTTCTGTTATCATCTCCATGGGTTTTGTTTAGTGCCATTCAAATCATACTTGTTTCATCAAGCGTAATTCTGCGGTACAGTGTATCATCTTGTTGGTTTATGTAGATGATATTATTCTCACAGGTGATGACTCTATCGACATTGGTCAAGTAAAGAAGAACTTGGGTCAGACTTTTGATATCAAGGACTTAGGAAGTCTCAAGTATTTTTTGGGGATTGAGGTTGTACACTCGAAATAGGGAATTTCTTTGTCTTAAAGAAAGTATACTCTTGACTTGCTTAAAGATACTGGTATGTTAGTGTGTAAAAACCTATTTCTACTCCTATGGATCCTAATGTCAAGCTCACATCAGAGTCTGGTTAGTTGTTGGATGACCTTGGCATGTATCAGAGTCTTGTAGGGCGTCTCATTTATTTGACCAACACTAGACCTGACTTGACATTTGCGGTTAGTGTTGTGAGTCAATTTATGCATGCACCTTATAAAAGCATCTTGATGCGATTCATCATATTTTGAGGTATTTGAAGACTTATCCTGGCTTGGGACTATTTTTCACAACTAGTCTTCAATCTAGACTCTCTTGTTTCACCGATGCCAATTATGCGAGATCTAGAACTGACCAACGTTCCACATCTGGCTTCTGTACTTTCTATGGAAAAGTAAGAAGCAAGCGGTTGTGTCTAGGTCGTCTACAGAGGCTGAGTATCGAGCTATGGCACAAGGAACATGTGAGCTTCTTTCACTTCACTCTATTTTGATAGAGTTGGGTTTTACTAAGACTGCTTATTCCTCTTTATTTTGTGATAACAAGTCTGCCATTATGTTATTCTTTGATTCTGTGCTTCACGAGTGTACCAAGCATATTGAGGTTGACATACATTTCATTAGAGAAAATGTTTGGACTGGTATTGTGAGCCTATCCTTTGTCTCTTCTTCACACCAGTTAGCAGACATGTTTACCAAGTCCGTGGGACCATCTTTGCTTCAGTCATCCATTGCCAAGCTTCGTTTATCAAATATCCTTACGCCAACTTGAGGAGGAGTGTTGAAATATAATACACAGAATATTCTAAAATATGACCCTTTTTTGTTATGGCCATTATTTAGGCCTTGATTTTGTTTCCTTTTCTATGTTATTTCCTATTTTGTATAGTTTCCTAATATTAAACATATTGATCTATATATATCCATGGGCTGACCTCAATTGAGATTAAGCCAATTCATTCTTTTACTCTTCTGTATCCGGTTCAATACTCTCTCCCCCCGCCTGTGAAAAAAAATCATGTGGTGGGTGGATATGAGAATGTATTTTCCGATGTGAAATTACAATAACCACTACATGCAGCCTATAACATGTGTATTTATCCCAGGGTGAACGAGGAGAGGGGTTGGAGCTGGAGTCATTTTGCCCCAGGAAAAATGTTTGAATAAACAAAATTTTATTTATGAATTGAGTTGGCTTCCAATAACAATAACAATGAAGTAGAATTTAAAATGGACTTACTAAAATTAAATAATTGCAACAAACAACTCAAGTGTCGGCTCTGTTCGGTTTTAATCTTAGAATCAGTTTTTGAATTTTTTTTTAAATTAGAAATTAATTTGGTAAAAATAAATATTAAAAGGTCAATTTCTAAATGAACTTTTAATTTCAAAATTTAAATAAATTCATTTTAAGTCACATTATTTCTAAAAAGAACTTGCTTAATATTTTAGATTCCAAATTGAAGTCTAACTATCACATTTGTCTCATTTGAAAAGATAACCGAACAAGTCTCCTAATATATATAACATGTATTACCAAATAACTTTTTCAAAATAACAGAGAACACACAAATCTTTATTATTTATTAATACAAAGCATTGGGAGTTGAATGACATAAACATTTATCTGTTAAGAAATAAATGTTATTTCGTTAAACCGCACCCTACCCTAATGTATTTGCGAAACCGCCCATATGCGTGCGGTTCGGATCAGTTCGGGCGGGTTGTGCGGGGTCGGATAACCCACTGCCCACCCCTAGTTTATTCGTTAAGAACATAAATATACACACATATTCTCCAAAAAGAAAAAAAAGAAAAGAAAAAAAAGGGCACACACATGAAATTATATAGCCACGCTAAGGATCCGTCTTAAGTATTGTGGCCTTGAAAAGCTTATAGTAGAGTGGACACTGCGCAATGACAAAAAATGTCACAGGTAGAAACGCCACCAAATATTCAGCAATCTTTGCATTATTGAGTATATTTCTGACAACGAAAAAATGTCCGCCGCAAAAGGATATCAACATGGAAGCAATGGATATAAAAAGTGCAGTCAAACCAATGAGGAGTTTGAGGGGCACCCTAACATGAAAATCCATGACTTGGTGTCGAGAGGTGAGAATGGAAAGGAACATGATCACTGCCATGAGTGAAAAGCAAAGCGCCACAAGTGATGAGATGGCGAAGATCTCAAACATCCCCTGTCCTTGGAGAACTGGTTCCCCGTTTTTTCCTTGGACGTCGCCAGGCAAGGCGGCTGACATGGCAAAGGCAACGGTTGCAATTAGTGCTGCAACAATGGTGCAAGAGTCTGAGGTTTTCAAAAGCCAGTCAACGTCGTTTCTCATAAGATCAGTGTGGGTCTCCATAAAGCTCTGTTCAGGGGTCTTGCCCTCCTTCTTTTGGTGGGTTAACATATTTTTTGGCATATCTTTCTTAACAAGCTGCATTATTAGAGATTAGGGGAAAAAAAATCTTTAAAAACTTTTTTAACATTAAAAGTAGTAGATGATGGTTTGGAGAAATGACGAACCATTCTTATTACCTCGAACCAATTGATTTCCCATTGCATTTGAAGCACAGCATTTGAGGCAAACCAAGAGCGATAAGTATTGGCAATTGCAGCAAGATGCAAAGCATTGTTTCCGTCATTGTCATTATGGTATAACAAATCTTTTGTAGATTTTTCGACATGTTTTAGCAACGTTCCATAAACTTGAGGTTGCCTGTGTTCCACAGCTAAGAGCATCACATTCTTTCCCTCTGAGTTCACGTCATATATTGCCTCAGAAAATTGTTCCAGGATTCCTCTAACTATTTCAGTGATACCATTCTTTGATGCAACTAGTATTGGTGTCTCTGCAACAACAACAAAATTAAAATAAAATAATTTTCAGAAATTCAATAAAATACTTTTGCCAAACCAAACCTGTTGGCTCCCAAATTCATCCAAAGAATGGCTCCACAAATGGGACAAAGCAGGTGACCATCCAGAATCATCAATTTCTGCAACGAAACCCTATTCCCCCACATCGACAACCCAATCTCACCAGGACTGGACCCCTAATTGCTCAATGCATAAATGAGCTAGTTGAGGCCGTGGGTCTCATTGTGGAATGGGAGACTTTTATGAGTTGAATAAGTTAACGTATTTATAAATATTTTTTTCTTTCTAAATTTTTTAGTTGTATAGAAAAATATAAAAAATAAAAAAATTGGCATGATATTTTATTTTTTGTCTAAAATTCTCATTTTTTATAAAAAAGTTAATACGAGGATATATTAATCTTTTTACATAGATATAATTCAACTTTTTTAAAAAACATGTCAAACATAATAATTTTTTAAATTTTTAATTAAAATAATCCCTTTCTAAATAATACATTATTCGTACTAATATGACAGTCATGTTACATCTCTACAAAAATCCCTCACAAAAATACTTTTTCATAGATTATTTTGACCCAAAAAAACTATTTATTTACACTGTAGTGCTAGATTCTTTCCTGTCAGGATCTATAAAGGAGTGCTTTTGTGAGAGATTTTTATGGGGTTTAATCATCTTCCTTAATTGGACCGAACTATCCAAATAATTTGTCCAAATAAATAATAATAATAAACTCTTGTAAATTGAAAGGAAATAAACAACTTGGACAGTGAGTACCTTGCTCTGTTCTGTTCTTTGGCTGGTTTCCAAAGAAACACGAGTATCTGGCACCAAATTTTAGTAACATTGTCACATCAATGGCATGATTGTTATACAGAAAGAAAAAAAGGGAATAAGTCATTGGTTGGTTCAGAACATTATCACATGATGCTTTATATATATTATGATTGATGGAGGAAGTAATGTTTACGATTTTATTTTGGATGATTTGAAAAATATGAAGGAATATAATAATTTATGATCGGTGAGAAACACTATCATGTGGCATCTCTAACTAACCAATAATTTTATATAAAGAGAGAGAGAGAGAGAGAGAGAGAGAGAGAGAGGGGGGGGGGGGGGGGAGGAATTGAAACAAATATGATTACCTTTCTTCTCTTCATTATCTAAGCTTTCATACCAAATTTGGTTGATGTTAAAAACATCATCACTCTTGGAGTCACTTGAGGGTTTGCATCCAGTACTTGTATAATTATAACGCTTGAATTCCCGAAGAATAAATTCCATGATCTTAATAGACTTCTGTTCCCTTTCTTTCATTTCTAGAACCTCCACAATTTGTATCAGCAAAAAACCCATTCTCTTCCAAACTCCTAAACATGTAGAGCAAAATTTTATTTGTCACTTTTTTTATGGGAAAAAAAAATTATTTGTAAATGCTATTATGATAACTAAGCAATTGACCAATGCTAATGCTTACTTGTTTTATTCATAAGATTCATATATTTTTATTTTACAAATTTAACTTATCACAAAATATTTCAATTGATATGTAAAATTTTATATTCTTGGTTGTGTTTTTCAAAAACACTTTTTAAAAAATTCTAGTTTCTTATTTTTCGTGTTTTTTTGTTTTTACTGAATTTTTTTTAATATTTTAAGCAATTTTTTTTTACTTTTTAGACGTACCTAACATAAATATACCTAAAAAGTAAAAAAATTGTGAAAAAACCTTTTAAAAATTCACTAAATACCAAAAATACAAAAAAAAAAATACGAGAATTCAATACATTTTTTATATTTTTATGTATTTATTAAATTTTTAAAATATTTTTTCACAAATTTTTTACTTTTTAGATACATCTAAGTAAGGTGCATCTAAAAAAGTAAAAAAAATGTTTAAAATTTTAAAAATATTCACTAAAAATTAAAAAATACGAAAACCAAAAAATTGAGTTTTCAAAAAACTTAATTCAAAAAACTCAAACCAAACACACTGATGTTTTTGTTACTTGTTATGCTAATAATAAGAATTACAAACATGTGACAAACTATTTTATAAACATTCAATTTCTTGCATGGAATAAAGCCCAATATACAGAGAGAGACTACTATGTATTATGAATAATTAACAAATAGATAGGACAATAGGGTTCCTTATTTAGTGCAATTTGTTGAAAAGCATAAACCTTTGATTTAATTTTTGATTAAATGATTAAATTACTTTTTTTGGAGTACTACTCTAAACCTCTATCTTTCTCTTAGAACCCTTACTTTGGGTAATTCTATTTCCACACACTAATTTCACTCAGTCCACACGTCCATAAAAATTTTCATTATTTCAATTTTATCCTAAAATAAAAATACCATAATACCCTCATCTTTTTCTACTCAAACCGCATTTCTAAAATGCTCAAACCATCTTCTATCGCCAGCGTCACCTCTCTCATCCGTTATCCCTTCCCGTCACTTCTTTTCTTATCCGCCTGCGATTGCTTTTTGTCATGAACTATACATTCCCACAAGTCTCTTACCACAAATCACTTAATGTTGACTATGGAGGTCTAGGATTGAGGGGGATTAGCTAGAAGTGGCGATAGAGGGTTGAAAGTGACGGGAACGATAGTAAAAGATGAGTGGATGAATGGAAAAAAATAAAAATAAAAATTAGATTCTGTTTAGTATAGTTTTAGAATATGTTTTCAAAAATAAATATAAAAAAAAAAATTATTTCAATATGGTTTCATCTTTTTAGGGGCAAACAAATTTAAAAATTTTAAAAATATTTTTTTGGTATTTATTTTTGTCAAATTAATTTATATTTTTCTCATCAAAATGTCAAAAAATTGATTCAAAAACTGAAACCAAATATAACCTTAGGGTTTTAAAATTGAAAATGAGGGTAATATTAAAATATAGAGATGTGTACTGAGAATTTATACTTTTATATTGTGTGTATTGAGAAAGTATTCATTAAGATTGTGTGCTGAGGAGAATAGTGTGTGGAAATATAATTACCCCCTCACTTCAGGTGCCTCTATTTACACACTACATTTCATCTCAAGGCAAACCATGACTCAACGCACACTTTTAGTAATTTGATAAATAAGAAATTTGCTCAATACACACCTTAATCTTCCATCTTTACCCTTACCCACACATTCCACCTACAATCTTCAATCTTCCATTTTCTTAAAAAAATTTATTACATCTTTATCCTTCTAGTCAATTACATTTTTAACCTTTACACAAATTTCTTAATCCACACAACCCACTCCCACCAGCCCTAATCCTAACCCTAACTGCCATCGTCGCCGCCCGCTCGCTACCCGTCGTCGTCGTAGTCATTACAGCTTTGGCCACACCTCCTCCGCCATCCCTAGCTCCGGTGAGCCATCCCTTGCCATCCCCATCTCCGCCATCCCAACTTTAATCCAAAACCCTAACATCTCCTCACTACCACCGCTGCTAAGTTGGCATTGCCTCTCCAAATCCCCTTCAGTCAACACTTCTTCTCTGCAAATCCTCGCTTCACTACTATTTTCTCCCCCATTGCAGCTCATTTCTCCTCCTATTTCCACCCATAGCCCTTTCTTCTTCTTCTTTTTCTTCTTCTTCTCTTCAAACCCTAGATCTAGAAACCCAAATCTCTCTCTCTCTCTCTCTCTCTCTCTCTCTCTCTGTGGCAACTACAGATCGAATGATGGAGTGAAGGAACTAAGTCACGCTATGGTGGGGATCTAGATGATGGGAAGCAGCAGAAGGTGGCCAACGGGGCTGGAGAGGGGTGATGGGGGTGAGGGAGATACGAGTTGCAATGTCAGCAGTGAAGGAAATGGTAGCGCGAGTTGCTGCCATGGCAGGGGCGCAAATGGACTGGGGATGGAAACAGAAAAGGGAATGGTGTTTGTCGGAGGGTAGTGGCGGCAGAAAGAGGTAGGATGGCTGACGGTAACGGTTGATGATGGCAGTAGCTGCGGCGGCTGCGGTTGCGGCTGCGGGGTATAGTTAGGGGTAGGGTTATGGTAATGGTTATGGTTAGAGAAGATGAGGATATTTTGGGAATATTTAAAAATTGATAGTGTGTATTAAGTGAAAAATAATAAATCAAAATTGGATATGGTGTGCAATGAGTAATTGGTGTGTATTACGTAACGTGTGTATCATAATTCTTTATCCTTTGTGGTCATTTTACATCAGGTTAATATTGTAACAAAAAATAAACTAATTAATGATGTGTCTTAAAATAAAAGGTGGTGTATAAATAGAGGTACCCCTCACTTTCTTTATTATTTTTTAATTCCAGTTATGTCCCAACAGAAAATTTCACTTTTACCTTCAACCATAATCTTCTAATCCTAATTTCCCAAGCTCTAACCCTAATCCCATCCCTCATCACCTCCCTCACAACCTTCATCACCACCGCACTCATCAAATTCCAAATCATTGCCAAAAAAAGGGGATTTAACAATGATAGATTTCTTCTTTAAGGACTTGAAAGCATCCATAAGAAAGAGAATTTTAGATATATTGCAGTTGTGGTGCAGTGGCGGAGAAGAGAACAAGAATGAGAGTTGCCGGTAGAGGGGATGATAAGGAGTGCACAATTTAATTTAAAGAAACAATGAAGAACAAATTAAAAAAAAAAACTTGAAACTACGTCCATTTTCCTCACAGTAGTGATCCCAAACCCTTCAAGAATCCAAATACGTATTTTTTCAGATCCGAATGAAATAAGCATGTTTACTCCTCTGTTTTAGTAGATCAACAAATATATGTATATATATATAGTTACCGTTTGAATTAGCAGTACGATCGAGTCGTGACTCCACTACTTTTCTTACCCACGAATTCCCATCTGGTACACCTTGCAAAAATAGATAATAATAATAAAAAAACTAAGGCGTCGTTTGGCATAAGGTTTTTTTTTAGCTATTTTAGTTATAAAAGGATAAAAAAAAAAGTTAAAAAATTAATAAAATAAAATATCACATCCAAATTATAATTATTTTATTTTTTCTCTTACAAAAATTAAAAAAGTCAAAAAAAATCCATCGCAAATAACACTCTTTAACCCTAAACTACAAAAGTCAAAAAGTCAACCCACGTTTAAATCATTATTAGTCTGCTCCCGATCCAAATAATTGTTTAATGGTGTTCTTGCATGTCTACGTGGTGTCCAAGTAGATATTTATTAGTAGTTAAATAGAATCAGATTCTC